CTTCTTCTTCTTCTTCTTCTTCTTCTTCTTCTTCTTCTTCTTCTTCTTCTCCTCCTCCTCCTCCTCCTCCTCCTCCTCCTCCTCCTCCTCCTCCTCCTCCTCCTCCGCTTTCCTGAGGCCCAGGAGGCAAAGAACCCTCCCCCCATTTTCTTTCCCACCTCCACCCCCGCGTGCCCCTTTTTGCCTCCTGGGCGAAGCAGTAAGACGGTGAGGGGGGTCCTGGCACAGCTGATGATCAGAACAGCTGATCGTCGGGAGGGAGGGGAAAAAAGAAATACCTTAAGGAGTGATTGGGAGGGGAGGGGCAGACGGAGAGGGGCGGGCCAGCAAGGGCACAATTTGCCAGTTCTCCAAACTGCGCAGAATCACAACACCGGTTCTATAGAACCGGTCTGAACCAGGAGAATCCCACCCATTTATACAGATGTTGCTGTTATACTATTCTAAGATCTATATCTTAGAAGAGCCATGGGACACTGATATCTTTTTGTAACACAGTTTACAACTTAATTATGAAAAAACAAAGGTGATGTATTTGGACAGACTTCTAAGAACTATCCCTAAGCCTTGAAAGACCCAAATAAAAAGAATTCCTTGTTCTCAAGTACTTCATGGTACATTATTTAGGGAATCAATACACTCATATCCTTTTTGGTAATCATGTAGTTTATTTATTGCTGTGCTTTTTTTCATTATTTTATTGTTCTATTGTCTTATTTCTGTTCTGGCCACTCTCTTTTAATTTCTTTCTTTTTGTTGTAATGTGGCTAGATAGCCTCATGGCAGGGTAAAATTATAAATAAATAAATAAATACATTTCTCTGAATGAATGCTCACAGGAATTTAGCAGCAATGCTTCCTTTTTCTCTGAAGGCTTGCTCTTTATGTTCTTGTATATACCAGTTACTTTGAAATTGATTGAAGCCAAGATGCTGGCAAATCAAAGTAGAATAAGCACAATTGGATGCCTTTTTAGTATTCATACCATACCACTTGGTATTATATACTGCATTTTTTAATTTTTTTCTTTTACGTAGTCTGTTTTTAGGACACATTGTCCATTGGATTGATAAGTTAAAATTGTACCTTTATGGTGCTTCAGTTATCTAAAGGGTTTAAAACTATGAACTCTAATGCTAGAGTACACTAGAAATTTAACAATTAGCTGTTAGGATTATAACCATTCGATACCCCAAGTTTAAAGCTCAGGAATTCTGGGAGTTGAAGTCCACAAGTCTTAAACTTGCCAAGTTTGAAAACCCTTGTCCTAACAGATTGCAAGGGTAAGGAGTGCCAAATCGAGGGACTTGGTCATTCATGGATACATCATGCAATCCTCAGTAGCAGGAACTGTTACAATCTTCAATCCTTCTTCTCCTTTTCTTCCAATTAGTTGAGTCTCTGTCACCACAAGTCAACTTCAATAACTTGGGAGAAAAACTCCCAATGCAAGCCATGAGCAAACTTGCAAAACGGTGCTGCTCACCCAATATCCAGAAGACTGTGGCTCACAGCAAAAAAAACAAGGAACAAAAAATGCATTAAGCTATCACGTCCAGATGCTATCTACAATACATCCTCCTTTTATTTCCTATTCCTGAGATTATTCCTATTTCCCAAGTCTAAACGTATTTCTGAGATAAGAAGTAAACTGCAGTATTTTGTCCTTTATTCAGCTTAGTGACTGATTACAGATGTTAGGTAACGTTTACTTTTTGTTGATCTTGTCAAGTCAGGAAGATTAAGTTTTTGATATGGTTTCATACAAATTAAAATTTTATTGTTCTTCTCCCTTCTTCCTTCCGTTCCTTTTGGAGAATTCTTATGTTCATAATGCAGTAATGATAGTGTTCTTTTACCTCCATCTACATAATAAAGAATGATAATTTTACTAGTAGGGAATGGAGGACAGAAAACAACAACCAAAGGTACAATGCCTGACCTGTACTTACATCACATCTTAGTTACTACTATTTCCAGTCAAAGGAACAGAAGTGTACACCCTGAATTAACTAGAGACAACCGAATGCTACCAATGTCCAAGATCTTCTGGCCTAATAAAAAAAACAACAGAACAAGAATGCATTTGTTTCTGTAGAAATTTAATAAAACATATTTAAAAAACAGGCTGTAAATATTGTCACTATTGTAGCTACTTTTGAAGATTATGGATAAATGGGTCTAAAGCAGATGTCTATAACTAAACAATCACAAGTGCCTCTGTAGTTCAAATAAATGTTGAATTAATGCAACAATGACACATGCATTCCTATAATTTTACTTAAAGTCTCCATCTTTATCTCTAATGAGTAAAATCTGTGCCTTTATCAACCTGTCCATGTGTCAAATCCATGTATCTGCCATTCTTCAAAGGAAGAAGAAGGGGGGGTGGTTTTTGATAGAAGTAATCCTTTTTTGATATGAACCTGAATATCTTAAGTTTTGTATTGAATCTGTATAATTTGCACATGATCTACAACTGGGGATTGGAGCCCAGAGGCCTGGAAACTTGTCACCTCTTGGAGAGATAGCAAGAGGAGAAGGGGCCATAAAAAATCCAGCTCCGAAAGAAACTTCCTGGAAAAATTTTCTCAACTACATTCCCCCCCCCAAAAAAGGGGGGGCGGGGCGTTAAAATGTTGCTTTTTTGTATTGCTGAAATCCACACTGGACTAAGGGGAGGGGTTCCTGCATAAGATATTAAAAACACTCACCGTCTCCTGGTTATTGTTGCATGAAGCTATCTTTCTTGTATAAGGTCCTACAAAAACTCACCATGTCATGATTATTGGTCCAAAATCATGAAGCTGCTTTCCTGTATAAGATTCTGCAAATACTCACCCATCTCCTGGTTATTTTTGCAAAATCATCAAGCTTTCCTGCATAAGATTGCAAGCCTTTGCAGATGACCTGGTATTCATATTAGAAGACCCATTGGAAACAGCACCTAAATTAACAGAAAAAAAATAGAAGAATATGGAAAAGTAGCAGGTTTGAAAATAAATAAAGATAAAACAAAGATATTAACAAAGAATATGTTAGCAAGATGAAAGAAAGAGTTGGAAGAAGTTTTAGAGATACAGGTCACAAACAAGGTTAAGTATTTAGGGGTATACATTACACCAAGATGTAGCACACTGAAGGAGGATAATTATCTTAAACTCAAACAGCAGATTGCGACAGATTTGACAAAATGGGGAAATTTACAATTATCATTGGTTGGGAGAATATCTACAATTAAGATGAATGTATTGCCTAGAATTTTATATCTATTCCAGACAATTCCAATCCGACTAGGGAAAGAGTTTTTTGAAGACTTAAATAGAATTGTGCTGAAATATATCTGGCAGGGCAAAAAAGCAAGAATAAAACTAAAACTGTTACAAGATGCAAGAATAAGAGGAGGGTTTGCTTTGCCCAATTGGGAGTTGTATTACCAGGCGACAAATCTGATGTGGGTAAAGGAATGGATAACAGTAAGGAACAGTAGACTATTGACCTTAGAAGGGCATGACTTGCTGTTGGGATGGCATGCCTTCCTTTGGTAGAAGGGAAGTAAA